GAGCAGTTATATAGAACAGCCCCAGAAACAAAGCACCAGGTCCGGTTGGAATTGATACAGAAGGGATCCAAGCATGCGGAGAAGTGGGTGTTAAATGGCTTACTAGAATTTTTAATATAGCTTGGGAAGAAAGAAAAGTTCCAACTGAGTGGCAACAGGCACTAATAGTGCCGTTATGGAAAAAGAAAGGAAATATGAGAGAATGTAAAGCATACAGAGGCATATCACTGAGTCACGTGGCAAAAATGTACGCCAAATTACTAGAAGAGAGAGTTGGACCCATAGCTAAACAACAGCTGAGTGCATCACAATTCGGTTTCAGAAAAGGCAGGGGATGCACAGATGCATTATTCACTCTGAGGCAAGTGTGTGAGAAAGCCATGGAGTACAATACCAAACAGAATATTGTGTTTGTAGATCAGGAAAAGGCTTTTGATAGAATGAATAGAAACAATTTGTGGTCTGTTCTTGAGAACTACGGGGTACAAGGACAGTTACTAGAGAATATCATAGCCATGTACCACACAAGCCAAAGTGCAATACGAACACAAGAAGGCATATCAGATATGTTCAGTCAACACAGGTGTGAGGCAGGGATGTGTGCTCTCCACACTTTTATCTAACATTTATATAGACAATATCTAAAGAAGCAAGTTCTGATACAGACAACATAGATCTTTATAATCATGAGGAAGTAAGTACACACATCAGGAGAAGTTATTGATTCACCCACATCAAACGAACTACTATTTGCTGATGACTAGTGCTTGCTCTACCCTGAAGAAGATAGACTGCAAGACCACATTACCAGGTTAAACTCAGCATGCAGTAAATGCAACATGAAGATCAATGCAAACTAAACCCAAAAAATGCAAGTTAGTAGAACCCCTACCCCAAGGAATTTTGAATTAAGAATCGACATCTCAGCACTCGGGACACTCCCATAAGCGCCCCGTCCCCATCTTCAGCAGCAAGCGAAGAGTTAAAATTCCGATGGTATCAGTAACAGTCTGATTGTATATCCGTCTCGCCCCTCCACTGAGTGTCGAGCGACGGCCAGATCTCCTTGTCACTCCTCGCAGCGCCATTCTCCTCAGACGGTAATTATCTTTATGTTCCTCGGCACTGTTCACTCGCTTCCAAGGGGGCCCTCACAACATCCAGCTTGTCATATATCAGTTCCCTACCAGGTGGTGCAGAACCGGCCAGTCTATCCGCCTGCTCATTTCCCAAAACACCAGCGTGACCTGGAGAAAATTTCAAAGGATACTAACTACCCGGGACCTCTGAAGTGATGCTTGCCACTCTGCACGGAGCATGCCTGTCTCCACCTTTCTCAGCATGCTCTGTGAGTAAGTTACAATGACGACATGTGCGTACAACCGATTCTCAAGCCAACGGAAGGCATCAGTGACTGCCTCCACCTCCATTCTCAAACTAGACGTTATAATATCATATGCCAGGCTTTGTTGCGCCAAGCGACGTTCACTCGCCTTTACTGTGAACCCCTATGCACTTCGTCTGCCCCTCACCACAAAGCCAATCTGTATATACAATCACATCACTTGGGTGGGAATTGTCATGAATCATTTGTTGAACTTCTGATTCTGCAGCACCAGCTGACCAGTCCCTGCACTCACGTCCCAAAGTGATTAGAACCCTACACAAGTCTGAAACATGGTCGGACACACCTGCCCCACCACACATACAGTTTAATGGTTCAGCTCTGAATCAAGTTAAGGAGTCTAAAAATCTAGGAAGTATGATCACAGAAGATGGTAGAATTGACAGAGAAATAGAAACCATATGTCAGAAAGCAAGTGCACTTATAAACCAATTGTCACAATTATTAGGACATCCAAGCATAACTATGAGGGCAAAGAGACAGATTATTAATAGCATATTCATTCTAACATTGAGCTATCAGTGCCAAACATTTTGCGTTTATGGGTTTTAGATAGTGTCACCACCTGCGAGATGGGGTGCCTGAGAAAAGCAGCCAACCTAACCATCCGAAATCGAGTGAATAATGAAACTATCAGGTAAATTGTGGGAACGACACCTTGAACTAGATTCCTCGAGAAACAGCAGATCGAGTGGTTTGGCCATCTCGTTAGAATGCAGCAAGATCAAATACCATCACAAGCACTACATCTCAGAAGATCACCTACAAGAGCAAGAGGACGGCCGCGGAAAACATGGATCGACAACATTAAAGACACTCTACGCCTTCACGGCATGACAATAGCCAGTGGCAGCCAACGTGCACTGGATCGCAAATTATTCCTCCCCACGCCCCTAACGACAGAAGTGGTTTGTGATGATGATGATGATGATAAGCCGGCTTCAGTAAAATACTTTTTACTGGGGTGACCGAAACTCTCATGTTCCTGAAAACACAAGAAGACCAGAATAAATGAATGAATTAAAATTGTGTCTAGACTGGGCTTGGCGGGTATCGTCCATTCCAACACTTTCTATCAACAGATCGAGCGAGGTGAGTGAGGAAAGAAAAAAGAAAGTCAATTGACGGCTCTGAAGCTTGTCACAACCAGCCAATGGCGACCACGGGTTGGTTAACGCTCGAGTCAATGTGTGAATCCTGGAGTTGCGCGCGCAGCCTACTCATCTACTTCCATTTGACCGGCGCGTCGGCAGCTGAAAGTGGAGTTTGAGCTCCAGCGGGACAAAGTAACTAATGAGTTGATGACAGTTAGGTTTGTGTGATTGAGGTTGTTGTCCGTGCTTAGCTCTGGGCAGTTTTAATGACAAGCCAGTGAGAGAAGAGGACGGTCATGAATTCGAAAATTGAATGCAGCGGCGTTACCACGTCGGATACGCTTGTTGTGGTGTCGGATATGAATGGGGTACTTCAGGGGCGTGTTCTTGACGATAACAAGGAGGTAAGAGAAGGCTTTTTATGAAGTGGCATTATTATCTTTTGACTCGTTCAGTAACTAAGCAACTCAACTTGTTTATATCAATTACCTATATTTCTTAACGCTTTCTGGTAATGGCAGTAGGTTCGTTTCAGTAATTAAAGGATTGAATCAGAAGGGGATAAAATGAGAACAGCCGAGGATAGAACGAGAAACAATAGCCTGAGATAGCCCCTCCCCCAGTAATAATTTTCAGAAGTGAGTACCCTCCAGCTGTATTATTGAAGTTCTCTTTTTAAATGCGTATTCACAGACTGTTGATGTGCCTAGCTCGATCCTAGCTGCAGCCGATTTGTCAGCAGGCCGGCTTGCGTTGGTTTTAACATTGGGATATCGAGAGCCGACCGTTCACTAGCAATGGGCAATGGCAAGCTACTGGACGTAAAATAGCCTGGTAAAATCACAAACAGCTAAACCTTGCTGGGATTGGTTCTGCACAGTCCTGTAAAGGACACCCAACTAAGTCTCCGTGTGGCGTTTCGGGTTCCCATTGTGGGAAAAACCAGAATAGATCCACTGCCTCCCTAACAAGCATGTCGTAAGAGTCGACTAATTTGGGACTTCTTTTAGAGTCGGGGTGCATTTGCACGAGAGGCAAGAAACCAACTGTCTGCATACAAATATGTAAGATCTGTAAAACGGATGCACATACAAAACTAAGGTCCTGGAACAAAGCCAAAGTCCAGAAATGGACGAACAACCAGGTATTCTTGCCGGGGTTTACAGTCTGTAAACGCAAACACAAACACGCAACTAAGTGTTTACATACGTTGTATTAGTTAACGTATATAATTCGGTTTATTTGTCATTTGTAAGAAGTTAAAAAAAAAGGACCCTTTTCCACGCCTTATACGTATTTGGCATTTAGGGATAGACGATCCGTGTGTGGACCAATAAATGTTGTACTACACGATGACACAGCTTTTAACATCCCCAGAACATCTAGAACTGCCCTAACCCAAACCCCCCTACCCACAACCTAGGTTCCACGAGAGATTCCAGAGTACATCCCATGGTTTCAGAAATTTTAACATTTTCCCCTCCGCCATAAAAACCCGTTTTTTGCTCCAAAAAGCAACTCTGTCCTCCTCGTCGTTCCGTCAACGCTGACAGCTGACCTAAATTTATGCCGTACATGAAGTCTGTAATATACGCAATCTCTGGCAGCAACCAGTAAAAGACACTGCGTAGCTCGCCGAATATATACGTACAATATAGAAACCTCTTCGCAAACACAGGACAAAGTGACACCCCTTTAACATAGACTAGCCCATGATACAGGTGAGAAAGTATGAATGAAAGCCCAGTTACACTATGTTTGTGCCCGGAAACGTAAATAGTCCGTCTCCGGCCTGTACCCGCTACACCACAGCACTCCCACGTTTGTAATAATAATATTTATTATTATTATTGAACATTTTAACAAGGTACGGGCCTCTTGAACCCTTCGATTTTACAAAATCATGAGCCTTCCCAATCCCCTATGTTTTCTTTGTTCCGGCGCCTCTGACAGTAACAATAGGCCTGGGCCAGGGCTTTTTTCCTTGACGGTACGCAAAGGCTCACAGTACCGGCACTCTTTTAGGGCATATTTTTCACAGTACTACTGTAATAGACACTTTGTAATGTGTACTGGCACCTTTTATTAGACACCTATTGGTGAGTACCGGCACCGTTTTTCTAGGGGAAAAAAGTCATGGCTAGGGTATATTTTTGTAAAATATATCATTAAGATGTGGTTTTTTAAATTTCTCGAGTCCCAAACAGCGCACATGGTGTGAATGGCCGTCCATGTGAATCACATACATATAACAAAACAAACCGCGCATACTGTGTTCTCTTACATTTTAAATTTGGTCAGAGTATGCTGCAGAAATCTGGCTACTTGAATGGCTACATTCACTGTGATTAGCCTCTGTTTATCATTTAAAATTTCACTCCATATGTAGATTTGCTTCAAAATCTTCTGGTACAGAATGAGCTATTTAATGTATCTGGAGTCTAACCAGTTGACTCCACTGGTAGGTATTTTGGCAGTGATATATGTCTTTCGTCAACCAGGACACTGGGCCAACTGTGGGGCCAGCTGAGAGAATGGACACGCAGAACGCGATGCTGTCAACTGATGCCCTTTACAAGATCGCCCCAGACTCCGGGTTTTCCTCTCGTGTGTCCGAGGTGGATGGAGGAGAGAGGAACGGAGGGGCTGGAAACTTACTGCTCGGGGAGCACAATGTCCTGACCAAACGCCTGGCGAGGATTTCAGAATGCCAGAATGGTGCGTGGCATTTTTTTTTTAAATTTCCATCTAACGACAGTACCCATCCCTAACTCCCCCTCCCCCAGTAAATCAGTTGTTGGTCTTCAAATATATTTCAAATAATTGTAATACAAATTACATAAATGTTTGAAAGAATTGGTTATGCGATATAGTACACAATAGCAAAAATGTACTCCGAAAAGTAAACTAAACACTTTATATCCCGGTTATAACCAGAGGCTTGAACAGGATATTTTATTTTAAAATTACTACTACTATTACTGCTGTTGCTACTCCTCCTCCTCCTACTACTACTACTGCCGCTGCTGCTGCTGCTACTGCTACTACTACTACTACTACTACTACTACTACTACTACTTCTACTTCTACTACTACTACTACTACTACTACTACTACTACTACTACTACTACTACTACTACTACTACTACTACTACTACTACTATCTTCTCTTCGATTACAGCCCTACGACTGCATGTCCTGGGCTGGGGTAACCAGGTAATAGTAGTTTTAACTTCAAAGCAACCGGGTCACACCATATTTACTCCGTTTTTGTGCCAATGAAAACCACGTAACTCAACCTGTACCAGATTATGCGTCATATCATTACCAGCGACTCTGTTTGACAAAATCATTCTTTCTTCCTACACATGAAAGAAAAGTATCATATTTCTAACACAATGCTGGAGCTCTTCTTTTGGAGACAAATAATATACCAATCCCCACCTCAAGGTTCCCCCTTCCTCCTAACTTCCCATCAAGCACATCGTGAAATCGGATATGTTGTGCGGAAAGACGCAGATATCACAGCCTACTTGTAAACTACAACATAACGTGTCAGACCGCACCTTTAAGCGTGAACGCAAAAGAGGAACTGTGATTTAGAATGTGAAATAGTAATCTACGGAATTGCGAGGCGCGTTCGCAGTGCCATGCCGCAGACGCTGACCCACTTTACTTTAACCAGAAAGCACCACTGCAGAAACGGTTGATGGAGGTTGAAGTCTGACTAAGGAACCCCTTTCCAAGCGTTCAGGGTATTGGGCATATAGACCTATATATTATAGACCAATCGTCACTTGGTGGGTAATGTGGTCAGCATCATACTAAACTGTCTTAGTGTGTGCAATTTTTACAGAGATCCCCGAGGGTCGTCGCCGGATCTATGGTGCTTTGAGTGATGCTCTCGGCAGTTCTGCGGAGAGAGATCAAGCCAAAATGGCTAAAACTCATTGCAATGAAGTCGTAGGTAGCTAGGTGCTTTGCTGAAGAAAAAAAAAATCGTCACGTTTAACCAGAATCCCTGCAAGGGGGGGGGGGGGGGGAGGGGTTTAGGTTATAATTGTGACTATGATATGTGCATTATATAAAATAGCTTACCACTGCATGCTAATGAAAGCCCTGAAAAGGATTCCTGCAGTGTTGACGTCATCAAAGGATAGCATTAAGTTCTACTGTGTTCGTAAATTGTTTCTGTGCTTGTTATTCGACATTATGCTTCGTTAATATAAATGTCTGTAACCTATGGTGCCATTTAAATGGTTTGAAATTAATTATGTCCGTATTCCAAAGTTGTGGATTTCAAACTGTACGATAGACACGACCAATATAACACCTTTGGAGAGGGGGGGGGGGGGGTGCCAGGTTGACCATGTTCTTAGTGCAATTGTTTCCAAAGCGAGGCGCACACATGCCGTCCCGGCACGGTAACTATAGCTTTCGATTTTTATGTTGTCTAGTGTGTTCGTCCACCTTCCTACTTCTTTCTATGAGCGCCGATCAACACTTTTTCTGTTAATTATTAATATTAGATCAAAAGGAACAGACCCAAATACGGCCCCGACCGGCCACGAAGTTGTCTACCGGCGAGCCGGTCGCGGATGTGTGCAATGAAGTCGACCTTAACTGTCAAACATGTACGGTACTGCAGATATTTTGCAGTTCTGCGGGTGTAAAAATAAGCTGACCTAACCTACGGAAACGAATACAGACCACTGTAACTGCGTGATAACCACTCTGTCATATTTGAGCCAAAATGGAAATTTTTTTCTCCTCCGGAAGATGGCACTTCATGGAAAGGGATCGTTGTGTCGGACTATTCCATTGTTGTTTGTTGTGTTGACCCAGAATCCCAGACCGCCTGGCTGTAACCAGCCACAACTGGTGGCCACAGCGCCTAAACCCCCCTGACGCAGTGCAAAAGTTCACCAGGCTAACGCCTGAGATGGCTGTTGGTTCACTTGCACACCCCTAGTCTCCCCAACCCAGGGCTACCATTACTGGGGTTTCCCCCCGAGATGTGGGTTTTTATTTGACGCCTTTGGTTCAGATTTGGGAATCTTGTTATTAAAAAAAAAAATTATATCCTTATGTAATGGTGACATAAGCAATGGTGGTATCAAAGTAACGAATCATTACTAAAAGTGTAATAAATAATGGTGTTATTTTGGGACAAGTACAAAAATTTAAGTATCTGGGAACATTGATAACATCAGATAGAAGATGCATAACTCAGATAAGAAACAGAATAGGACAGGCAAAAACTGCATTTTATAAAATGAAGAAAATCTTGTGAAATATATCCTTGTCATTGAGAGTAAAAAAAAAAAGAATTCTTGCTTGCTACATACATCCAGTTTTAACATATGGCTGTGAATCCTGGACAATCGGTAGGCAGGCCAAACAATTTCTTGAGGCCTCAGAGATGTTGTTTTACAGAAGAATGCTTAGAATACCTTGGACAGCAAAAAAAAAAAAAAAAAAGAGCGACCAAGAGGTTTTGAAAGAGGCGGGAGCCCGAAGACAACTTATCACAGACATCAGAAGGAGACAGTCATCATTTTTCGGCCATGTTACGAGAAGAGGGAAAACAGAACATGTTGTGACCACTGGAAAGATCTGTGGAAGGAGGGACAGAGGAAGACAACGAGAGAAGATTCTTGACAGTTGTTGCATGGCATGGAGGTGTATCGGCACACGAACTGATACATGCTGCAGGAGATCGCAGATTGTGGAGAGGCATGATCGCCCACGCCAGTCGGCAAGGCACCTGATGATGATGATCACGTTGACCACGTTATGAGAATGAATCCTGATATACCTGCCAAAATAGCTTTCACATGGACACAAGTGGAAAAGAGAAAGAAGGGGCGCCGAAAAAACAACAAGGAGACGAACGATGGAGAGTGACATGAATGCTGCATCTCTGACATGGAAAACTGCACTGAAGATTGTACAGGACAGGAAAGCATGAAAAGCCCTCTCTGAAGCCTCATGTGCCACTGGGCATAAAGAGAATTGATGATGATGATGATGATACTATCCAGGGGTTCATTTCCCGCCGTGGATCGTTAAAAAACCCCACATGTTTTTGTGGGGTTTACGGTCAATGGTACGAGAGTCGTGCAGTGGAATAGTTTGAGGCCGCAGAACGTAATCTTCTCAAAAGACAACAGTTGTACACTGCAGCCAGCCTTTGTGAAAACGACAGAAAATTTTTTTTTAACGGCGACCTCGGGCTATTTGGCAGCAAACCGCCTTGCGTTGGTTTCGACAGTAGTATCGAAATTCGATCTTTTAGAAGCAAACTACTCAACGCTATGTGGGTCACATCTGTGTCGTACTGAGGGCCACACACGACAACTAATTAGGGACAATGAAAAATATTATTACAAAATATTGTTGTTGTCGGCCGCAGATGTGCTCGCTAAGGGCCGCATGCGTTCCGCAGACCGCCAGTTTGACATTTTTTGCTGTAAAGGACACGCAACCAGCCTTTAACACCACAAGCCACAAGGACCTGAAGGTGACACGGGGCTGGGGTAGCCGTTTTGGATGCTCTATTGATAACTTTATTTTTGCGAGACTGAATCGGGTATCTGGGATCCACCTTGTTGTTCTATCATCTAAACTGAGAGTTTACATCTCAGGATTGTATGGTAACCCTTCTGTTAGAGGCCCAGATGGGACCAACATTCCGTTCCGTTTTTTTAGAAGAAACAAATCTTCAAGTTTAACCAGCATCCCTGCAGGGGGAGCTTTAAGTTATAATCGTGACTAGGTTATTTGCGCCATTAAAAATTTTTAACGTCGTTTGCCACCAAGAGCCCTGAAAAGGATTTTAGCAGTGTTGATGCGATCAGAGGGGAGACTCAAATACTGTCCTGGCCGACAACGAAGTCGCAGGCCGCCAATGTAATAGCCCTTGCCTACAGTTTTGGAGTACATGCTGAACATTTTCATTTGCTGAGTTGCAGGAACACATTTTCTCGCTCCCTTCACCGAAAAACTTGAATACATGTTGGCGAAGTCTTTTGTACCCAGTCCTTAATTTGAATATAAGATACCGACCCTCTCTAGAGAGGTGATAAAGCGAGTCTTCGGCTGACACATTTAGGGTGGGGATCCAGTCACCTTTCTCGGATATGGACCCCAGAAAATTGACCAAGAAGTTAAGGTGGCGGGTGCGATACTGATCAAATGACTTATCAAATGTGGAAGTGGAAGAATGAATAAAGAAACACTACAAAGATGCAGTAAAGACAATCAAATCACAGGACAAATTGCACCACTATCCTACTTCTTCTGTGAACTCTGGAATAAAGTTGTGGTTGTTTGCTCCCATTTGACTTTATCCTTTTCCTAAAATCTTGAGTGTTGTGTGCACATCCGTTTTACAGATGTGACTTATTTATATGCAGATAAGCGCTCTTGTCTGCCGGTCCGATGGTTTCAGTTTATTTATAAAATTGACCTCTGCTCTCAGGTCAAAGTAACCTCTTCTTCTTCTTTTTCTTCTTCTTTGATCTTTCTGTCTTTTTTGTTTACGTTCACCGGCTGTAAAATGTGGTGAGAAGTTCTGGTTGTTCCTCGATTTTTGGAGTCTAGTCATGTTTCAGAACCTGAGTATTGAGTGTACATTCGTTTTACAGATCTGACTCATTTTGTTTGCAGACTATTGGTTCTCAGGCAGATGTACTCTGACTTAAGGAAGATACCAATTAGTTGACTATTACAACATTATTTTTTTTCCGGGGAGGTATTGGGTCTGTTCTTGTTTTCCCAACAACGAGCCCCGGCAAGGGGGTTGGGGGGGGGGGGGGGGGGGCTATTAAGATGCAAGCACATGAATATCAAAACCCTCGGTGTGTTTGCGTGTTTGTGACTCAGAAACCTTGACAATAAACAAATAGTTATTGTTTACCAATAGATGAAGGATGCAGGTGTGACTCTGGCTCTGTGGTCAAGGTTATCATCAAGATTTTGGGAGTTCTTCTCATGCTGTACATTTTTATTTGTGCCTTGGACCTGCTTAGCAACGCCTTCAGACTTTTGGGAGGGAAAACTGCAGGTGAGTTGTGTGACAGTCTACACCAGTATTCTTGTTCTTATTCTTCTTATTCTGCTGCTGCTGCCAAACCCCCCCCCCCCGCCCCCCACCATTGCTGCTTCCTTTTTTTCCTTCTTCTTCTTCTTCCTCCTCCACCTCTTCCTTCTCTTTGCATTCACTGGCTGTAAAATGGCATGGAAAGTTCGAGTTATTTATCCACGCTTGGGTTTGAGTCTTGTTTCCGAACTTGCACATCACACAAAATATTGTAAACTGTTTGTTGGCATGTCATTTCACAAAGTTGAGAGTGATAGTGGTTTTTGTGGAGCACTTTTGACATTTCTTACAACAAGCAGTCAAATCATTTCTCATCATCATGTGCTGTGTAAGAAAACTCTGGCTGTCATATTTTGAAACTCTTAGAAATCACCAGAATCAAGGATCAGGTCAGTGTTGTTTGTCTTACCCCATACATATGACTAAGCCTTCCATGTTTTGATCTCTTTGCCTTTCATCTAATCTCTTTCTGGCAATCTTGTCAGTCATTTAAAAATGTCTTGAGTGTTTTCCTTCTCATAACATGTCTAAAACACACTGTCTACGTTATTACTATTTTATTATTCTGTTGCTAAAGATCTATGGAAGACCATACTTCAAGCCCTATGGACATTGAATGGCACAGTAAGAAGAAGATGGTGATGATGAATGATTTATCCTATAGCAATGTTTCCATTCAGTCAAGCATCTTAAAGTAGAGAATGCGCAACAATATTTTACTATATATCAGTATAGCTGTCCTGAATAATTATACTTTGGTTGTCTCAACCATTATCGCTGTGTTTTATCCGACAACATTTAATGTTTTTATGCTGAGTAAACATATCTTGAGAATTTGTCTTGTCTTCAACCCAAATTATTTTAATAAACATGGAGGTGAATTCCAAAAGAGACTGGAAGTATGTCTGTCTGTTTATTTTTCCCCTTCCTATAGCTAACCGATGGCTGTCCTGGGGAAGTAAAGATGGCCGGCGTAATGCTGACCACATTACCCATGCAGTGCCGATTGGTATGTAAAACTATGGGACGCTCTTACCATATGTCTGATGCGGCTAAGGCATGAAAAGGGATATAACTACCTGAAAGTTTGAACCTCATTCTGGGTCACAACAGGACAAATCTTAGATATCCCATTCAACCTCAAATAAAGTTATAGTTAGGACATCCATAATGGCTAGTCCAGGGTGATGTTACCTAGTCCTGTGTGGGTAAGGATGGAGCAGGAAATACACAAAAGACTGATGGTAGGTGGTAATCTGCTCCTTTCAGGATTACAGTCTGCAGGATTAACAGCTCATGGATGAGAATCAAACAGCTACAAATCCTGCAAGACCTGTTCAACCACCCTAGCAGTTATATTAGGGCCCCCACAGTTATGTATTAACCTAAAGTCTGGACCGGGCAAGGAATAATTTTGTTTCAAAAAGTTTTTTCATCTCTAGGTTTGCATTCTGCAGGATTAACATCTCAAGGATGAGAATCAAACCGCTACAAATCTCAGAAACCCTGAACCTTTTAGACCCGCTATTTGGGGTACCACAGAACAATTACAAAGTAACATGTAGTCAAGTGTGAGTGGGTGACTTGATGACGGGAAACATAACGTACTGACTGACTGACTGACTTTCAACCCTACCAGGGCCGCACAACAAGTGATAAACACCCAGTGACACAAAGTGTCACCATTCAGATGAGAATCACAAGGGCACAAGTTCCAGAAACCTTGTTCAACCCATAGGTTATATTTAGAGCGCACAACAACAGCCAGTGTGGGGCCTTAAAACAACACAAATCTAAATGTCAGGGAATATAAATAAAACATGATGCAGGAGTTAAAATCAGTTTGACTTATTTTGCTGTGTTATTTTGCCAGGCAGTGTGTTTCGGGAAAGTTCCCTGTTGGCAAACCCTATTACTGGACTCATGATTGGTGTCCTGGCAACCGTGATCCTTCAGAGCTCTTCCACTTCAAGTTCAATTGTGATCACCATGGTGGCTTCCAATAGTAAGTATTTAAACTCCTCATCTAGTGACAGTAATGTGATAGCTTCCCCTTGCTTTCCAAATATACTTGAAATTCAGGGACATCAAGGAGAACAAAAAACATTAGTGGGAGGCACCCAAGGGACATAATCCTTTTTTATATGCTTAATAATAATAAACGGAATGACAAATATATATAATAAGATATTTGAACAGAATATATGTGTAAACAAAAAAATGTAAAGTCTCCCCGTGTGGGTTCAGGGTCCCTGTTGTAGGGTAAACAAGAATAGACCCACTGCCTATCCAAAAGCAGGTCATAAGAGTTGACTAATTGGGAGCTTCCTTCAAAGTCGGAGTGCATCTGCCTGAGAGACAAGAAACCAACAGTCTGCATACAAATTAGTCAGATCTGTCAAGCAGTTGCACACGCAAACCTCTGGTTCTAGAACAGGACTGCAGTTCAGAAGTGGACGAACAGCCAGAACTTTCGCTGAAGATTACAGCCAGTGAACGCGAAGAAGAAAAAGAAAATGTTTTTAAAAAAGGTGGAAAGGGGGGGGGGGGGGGGGGGCTGAAGCCCCTTATATATATTTTTAGGGGCCATTAAGGTAATGAAAGTAATGAAGCAGCCAGGATCTGGCACCCCCTGGCTGAAATTAGGCTGTATTCTGTATGTGTTTCCATGCCTGATTTATGTGGAATTTTAAAACACTGTTATATTATAAGTAAATTTATTTCATGTTTTTTTTAAAAATTGTTTTTAACTAAATATGTTTTATTCATTTGCTACACACAGAATCGGGGGGTAGTATAGTGAACAGCTTAGCAGCATGAAAAACTTGTGGATGGATAATAGTTTGGCATCCTCATATGGCTGGGAAGTTAACCTATTAATTTAATTATGCAGTGAAAAAATTGAAAAACGAAAAATTAAAACTAGCCAGCCTACCATTATCACAAACACAAACCACAGACTAGTGATTATTGTCGCTAGAGAACCTTCCTTGGACATTACATAAATCTATAATACCACAAATTCAGACAAGAATATACAAAATCACTTCACTTATGTATCTCCGAAAAAAATCACATTTCTCTCCAGCTTGTGGAATATCCAACACACGTCTGATTTAATTGCACGAGATTTTCTAAAATATGGTAATAGCACCATGCTTCCAATATGTCTAAAATGTAGTACTAGCACTATATTTCTGAAAGGTCTAAAATATAGTACTAGCACTATATTTATAAAAGATCTTAAATATAGTACTAGCACTCCCCCGTGTGGGTTCCGGGGCCCTATTGTGGGGAAAACAAGAATAGACCCACTGCCTCCCCAAAAGCATGTCGTAAGAGTCGACTAACTGGGAAGCTTCCTTTGAAGTCGGAGTGCATCTGCCTGAGAGGCAAGGAACCAGCAGTCTGCATTCAATTGAATCAGATCTGTAAAACTGATGCACACGCAACACTCAGGTTCTGGAACAGGACTGCAGTCCAGAAGTGGACGAACAACCAGAACTTTACACCAGAGTTTACAGCTGGTGAACGCGAAGAAGAAGAAGAAGTACTAGCACTATATTTCCAATAAGTCTCAGGTGCTTATATATTCTTTGTTTGCACTTTATTCAATCCCAGTTGTTCTTGCTCAGTGTATAGTGCTTATGTCCAATGTTTCTGAGCTGATATTTGTCAACTTCTCAGTTCTGGACCTGCAGCCAGCCATCCCTATCATCATGGGAGCAAATATTGGTACAACTGTGACTAACACCCTGGTGTCCCTGGCTCACTCCACCAACCGTAGAGAGTTCCGCAGGGCATTTAGTGGTGCAGTGGTAAGTGTTGGTTACTGCATATTTACTGGTATATGCTAATCACTGTAAGTGTTAGTTACTGCATATTTACTGGTAAATGCTAATCACTTTAAGTGTTAGTTACTGCCTATTTACTGGTAAATGCTAATCACTGTAAGTGTTAGTTACTGCATATTTACTGGTAAATGCTAATTACTGTAAGTGTTAGTTACTGCATATTTACTGGTATATGCTAATCACTGAGTACCATGTTTCCCCCAAAATAAGACAAGGTCCTATAATAATGTTTGCTTAAAAAATGGGTTCTCTATTAATATTCTAATCCAGATGACGTCACAGGACAGTCCAACATTTGTGGTAAGGCTGGGTTTCCCGGCTTTCTGATGCTTTTAACGACCCCAAAACATCTAGAACTGGCCCTAACCCCAACACACCTACGTCCCACGAGAGAGTGCAGCCTAGGTCCCACGAATGCATGCAGCTTAGGTCCCACGACTGCATGCAGCCTATCTACCACCTCCTGAAATATTAGACTGTCCCGTGACCTGTGGGTTTCCTCTGTTTGGGGTAGAATATTAATAAAGCACCAAAAAATGCACTAGGACTTATCTTAGGGGGGATGTCTTATTTTTTCCAGATACACAAATCTACATTTATTCATTTACAAACAGTCTACATTTATTCAAATATAGTTGTATCATCTTCTTCTAAAAATATTGCAGCATAGATATATTGAAATGTGTATCTGTTTAAAACATTTTTGTCAAAATTTCAATAATATCAGTTGTATATAAAATGACAATAACTTCATTTCCAATGAATCCTTGTGTGGGTTCTAGGGCCCTGTTGTAGGGAAAACAAAAATAGACCCACTGCCTGTCCAAAAGCATGTTGTAAGAGTCGACTAATTGGGAGATTCCTTTGAAGTTGGAGTCGGAGAGGCAAGGAACCAGCAGTCTGCATACAAATGAGTCAGATCTGTAAAATGGATGCACACGCAACACTCAGGTTCTGGAACAGGGCTGCAGTCCAACAGGGATAAACAACCAGAACTTTCTGCCAGAGTTTACAGCTGGTGAACATGAAGAAGATGAAGCAGAAGGAGAATTTCTCATGAAGATAATATCTGAAACAGTCATAAGTCAACATATTGGAACTAACTGCTCTAGATCAGATCTTCCTCAAAAAACATTATGTCCAGGCTGATAAATACTTACTTTAATGATGTGTTAATGATGTTTTCTGAACTCTTTTCCAGGTACATGATGTGTTTAATTGGCTGACAGTTCTTATTCTTCTTCCTTTGGAAGTTGTGACAGGTCAGTTTTTCATACATATATTTCTTTTTCTCCTCCTTCTTCTTCGTGTTCACTGTCTGCAAACTCTGGTGACAATTTATAATTGTTCAACCATGCCTGCCTTCTTGTTCTGTTCTGGAATCTGAGTGTTGCGTGCACAACGACACCTGGGGTGGCCCACACCCCCTTCCTGCCACACTGCTCACTCCTCCTTAACAAGTATGTGATAACTATTACTAATTAACTGATATGCAGAGCTCTCATGTGTTAGGTCCAAAGATGCAGATATCACAGTCTAGCTGTCTTCTTCTTTCTTTGTGTTCACCAGCTGTACACTCTGGTGTAAAGTTCTGGTTGTTCGTCCACTTCTGGACTGCAGTCATGCTCCAGAACCTGAGTGTTGCATGTGCATCAGTTTTACAGATCTGATTCAATTGAATGCAGACTGCTGGTTCCTTGCCTCTCAGGCAGATGCACTCCGACTTCAAAGGAAGCTCCCCAGTTAGTCGACTCTTACGACATGCTTTTGGGGAGGCAGTGGGTCTATTCTTGTTTTCCCCACAATAGGGCCCCGGAACCCACACGGGGGACAGTCTAGCTGTAAATCACAACCTGTCCACTGACCTTTTTAGAGCGAACAAAGAACAAAAAGAAGAAGAAGAAGAAGACTTATAGATTACCATAATCTGGATCTTGTTATTGTCCAGGTTACCTGTATCACCTGACAAAAGCAATCGTCTCCACCTTGAACTTGGAGGACATGAAGGCCAAGGACCAGGACCTACTGATGGTCATTACTAAACCATTAACTAGCAGAATTGTACAGGTAAGCTATTTCATTGTACCGGTGAGTGTTTTTATTGCTCAGGTAAGCTATTTCATTGTACCGGTGAGTGTTTTCATTGCTCAGGTAAGCTATTTCAATGTACAGGCGTACAGGTAAGCGCTTTCATAGTACAGGCGTACAGGTAAGTGTTTTCATTGCTCAGGTAAGCGCTTTCATTGTACGGGTGAGTGTTTTCATTGCTCAGATACTCTCTTTCATTGTGCAGGTGAGTGTTTTCATTGCTCAGGTAAGCTATTTTATTGTTTAGGTATTTCATTGTTCTGAGGAATATCAATGTCCATGTTGGTTATTTCATCTTCGTTACTCATGTAAGTTATTTCATTGACAAGGTAAGTTATTTCATTACTCAGCTATATCATCTTATGTACAGAGGTGTTATTTTCATTCAGGTGGTTATGTTATTGCTCAAAGAATATTGAAATGTGTGTCCAAAAAAATAAAATACGTTCAGAAACAAAATTGTTCCTGTTTTGTTCTCTCCTGTGACAGATTGATCAAGATGTCATCCCTGCCATTGCTGAAGGTAAACTAGAATATGCAGATAAACCTCTTCTGAAGGTAGGTTCAGTTCTCAATTTTGTTTAAATCTCTGCTTAAGGTAAAACTAGTTCCTAGTTTTGTTAAAATCTCTACTTAAAGTAGCATTAGTTCCTAGTTTTGTTTAGTTCTCTACTTAAAGTAGCATTAGTTTCTAGTTTTGTTTAAATCTCTGCTTAAGGTAAAATTAGTTCCTAGTTTTGTTTAAATCTCTACTTAAAATAGCATTAGTTCCTAGTTTTGTTTAAATCTTTACTTAAAGTAGCATTAGTTCCTAGTTTTGTTTAGTTCTCTACTTAAAGTAGCATTAGTTCCTAGTTGTTTTTAAATCTCTGCTTAAAGTAGCATTAGTTCCTAGTTTTGTTTTAATCTCTGCTTAAAAGGTAAAATTAGTTCCTAGTTTTGTTTAGTTCTCTACTTAAAGTAGTATTAGTTCCTAGTTTTGTTTAAATCTCTGCTTAAGGTAAAATTAGTTCCTAGTTTTGTTTAAACCTCTACTTAAAGTAGCATTAGTTCCTGGTTTTGTTTAAATCTCTACTTAAAGTAGCATTAGTTATAGTTTTGTTTAGTTCTCTACTTAAAGTATCATTAGTTCCTAGTTTTGTTTAAACCTCTACTTCAAGAAGAATTAGTTCCTAGTTTTGTTTAGTTATCTACTTAAAATAGCATTAGTTTTCTAGTTTTGATTAAACCTCTAAAGTAAAATTAATTCCTAGTTTTGTTCTCTACTTAAAGTAGCATTAGTTTCTAGTTTTGTTCAAACCTCTACTTAAAGTACTTGTTCCTAAACTAGTTCCTAGTTTTATTTTTGTCCCCCCAATGGAGCCACAGAACACACACAGGACATTATTTAAACACATTGAATGAATTGATTTTGTATTTTTTTTTGTCTGTCTTCAGATTTTCTGCACCTTTAACAGCACAGAAGAATCTCTCATTACAAACGAGACCATTTTAAATGACACAACAAAGATGGAATCCTGGACATTGGTCAATAAAACAGTTGTAAAGATGGTCCCACTGGAGAAATGTAAGATTTATGATGACACTGTTCTACTTACATTAGCATTCGCCAGGTACTTGTAGTGAGCTACTTTCAATTTAATTTCTTATAAAATAATCAGAAAGCATTGCAAAACTCAGCACAACAGACTGCAGCCAAATGTATAATAAATTCAAAACTGCACATGTGGACAGGTACCCAGGAAATACTTAAAGCAGGCTATAGACATGCTCCCTACATAGAGTAGAAAGATCCCAGATCTTCAGTGGAAACCAAACCATATGAATCAGTGGAGGACATGCATCGGACCACGATTTTCACAGAGGCCTGGGTTCTTCTTATCTGAAAACGACTCTCAAAAAGAATGAAAGGATCAAAACCTATTCTTGAGTTTAAAGAGAAAAAAAATAATATTTATAGACAAAACTGCCCATCACCCCAAAATATAACAATAAATGATGAAGAAATTGAAAATGTCACAAACCTTGAATATCTAGGCTCCATAAAAAACAGCAATAGAGACTGTTCAACAGAAGTCAGAAGGAAAATGACCATAGCAATACAAAGATTAAACAGCATTAAAAGTCTATGTCAAGCACCAGCAAGGAAATCACAGTAAACATTTTGGGAGCATGCATCTTTCCTGAAGCAACATACGGATGTGAGTCGTGGATTATCTCCCAGTCCTTAAGGAAGAAAATATGGGCTTTTGAGCTGAAATGTTAGACAGATTATCAGAATACTATGGATAAGCTAAAAGTAGTAAGTAAAATAAGTAAAGATCCCTTTTCATGCCTTTTAGGCGCATTGGGCATATGGGAAGAGAACCCACATTTTTACAGACCAATCGGTACTAGGAGGGTAATGTGGTCAGCATTACGCCAGCCGGCTTTACTTCCCCAGGACATACATCCTGGTACCTACTTTGGACTGGGTCAATCTGCGACACCCCGTACTCTGATAAAAATCCACGCAGCCAGCAGTGGGTTTTGGTCGCGGTACTTTGGAATTACGAGTCGGACTCGTAATGCCTAAGCCACAGACGCCGCACCATGGACAAAGAAGAAGAGAAATAATGATATCCTTAAAAGATTCTGAACATCAAGGAAGATTGGCATGTAAATAACATTGTGCCTCGAAACCTGAAATATTATGGCATATCAAGCACCACCTGTAGAAGTGTAGTTAGAATAAATCAGGGAACATCTTATCCATTCACAGTAACATCTGGAGTAAGACAGGGGTGTGTCTTATCACCACTGCTGTTTATCACCTACATCGACAGTATATGCAAGAATGCCAAGCCCATAAATGAAAATGTTAGTAAGATCAACGAATTACTCTTTGCAGATGACCAGGCCTTGATAGCAGATACAGCCATGAAATTGCAACAACATCTAACATTCATGAATGAAGAATGTAAAACAAATAATATGAGAATCCACACTGAAAAGACAGAAGTAATGTCAATGGGAAAAAAGAAGACAGATCTAAACATAGCAATAGAGAACAAAGGCATTAAACAGGCATCTGAGTTTAAATATCTGGGAACTACATTTACCGAAGATGGAAAATTGGATAAAGAAATTAACATTAGATGCAGTAAAGAAAACCAAGTATTGAGACAGCTTGTCCCCCTCTTACAGCATAAGACAATCCCAATCAGCACAAAGAGACATCTTATTCAAAGCATATTTATTCCAACTCTGCGCTACCAGTGCCAGACATGGTCACTCACAACAAACCATAAAAGAAAATTAGTAACCATGGAAATGAGATGTCTGAGAAGGGCTGTAGGGGTGACCATAAGAGATAGGATCAGGAATGAGATCAAAAGAGAAAAAGTCGGCACAGAACCAATTCTAAATTACATACAAAGGCAGCAAGTGAAATGGTTTGCCCACTTGGAGAGAATGCCCTGTGACACCATACCATACAAAGCATACATGGAAAGAGAAGAAGGTCGTAGAGCAAGAGGTCGACCAAGAACAAGATGGAAGGATAACATCAGAGAAGCTCTACAACAGCACGATGTGCCTATGGTTGAGGTGGCCAGAAGAGCCAGAAACACAACCTTATATCTCCCTCGACACCCACAGCGGTAAAAGAGGAAGTGAAGAAGAAGAGAAGAAGAAGAAGAAGATATCAAGCACCACGGTTGACTGGAAAAAAAAAAAGCAGAAGGCATGGTACCTGGAAAGAGAGGCAGGGGCTGACTGGCATGAAGTTGGGTACATGATATAAGTAAAATCTTGGGTAGGAAAGTGTACGAGGCAGGAGAGCTGGTGAGAGACTGAGTTTCTTTCAGGCAGACTGTGACGAGAGCAACATTCTGCAAAGGACCTGCTACATGAGAACATAAGGATCTGTTTTTAACACCATTCCAACTTTCCTCTAATTTAGTATTATATAGTGTTATAGGAAGGTAATTTCCATATTGATGGTAAGTGTGACTAGCAAGATGAGATTATGTTAGGACAAGTCTTTCTTAATTAAAGTACAGGATTTCAGGACAATAGTTGTTATAGCATGTATTTAAAGTGCTTTTTCTATTTTATAATCTACAAGTTCTATTATATAATCTACAAGTTCTATTATATAATCTACAAGTTCTATTATATAATCTACAAGTTCTATTATATAATCTACAAGTTCTATTATATAATCTACAAGTTCTATTATATAATATACTAGTTCTATTATATAATCTACAAGTTCTATTATTTAGTCTACAAGTTCTATTATATAATCTACAAGTTCTATTATATAATCTACAATTTCTATTATATAATCTACAAGTTATATTATATAATCTACAAGTTCAGTTATATAATCTATAAGTTTATCAAATCTCATTTATTTATATTTTTACTGTTCTCCATATTTATGTTAATCTTGATGGTTCTGCATGTTAATCTCCTCTCTAGGCGAGTCTCTGTTTAGCTTGATTGGCTGGAGTGACACACCGTCAGGCATCCTGTTGTTTGTCTTCTCCATCATAAGCCTGTCGCTCTGCCTCTACACCATGGTCAAGCTCCTGCACTCCCTCCTGGGAGGACAAATCGCCAAAGTTGCCAGAAAGACAATCAACTCTGACTTTCCCAGACCGTTTCAGTGGTTAACTGGCTATGTTGCTATCTTAATTGGCGCTGGCATGACCATATTAGTACAAAGCAGCTCAGTGTTTACCAGCGCTCTCACCCCATTGGTCGGCATTGGCTGTCTCAAGTTGGAGCGCATGTATCCCCTAACACTGGGTTCAAATATTGGAACAACATTCACAGGTTAGTCATGGCTAACAAACATGTCATACAAACAAAATCCATTTACACCCCCTCCTCGACTTACGACCTAGGCAACTTATGACCAACTGCACTTTTGACCACAAAAAAGCAAATAAATAAAAATAGTTAATAAAGAAAGATAACTCTGCATTGGTAGGGTTATAAAGTTGCCAGAACTGATACAGTTGAGTACAAATTATGTACTTTAAACATTATGTACAAAAATTATACGTACATAGATTGAACTGTTGTTTTATGTACAATTTTTATAACCTGTTTGAATGAAAATAGTTGCAATGGAACTGGGTCGTAAGTCGAGGAGACCCTGTCTAATCATCATCATCAGCATCATGTGCATGGAAATACCCAGTGTGCAATGATGTCAATTGTGATAACATAACGTCATCTTTATGTTGCAAGTGTTTTGCTGTAAGTTAGTTAGTGAAGCATATGATACTAGACTTATATTTCTGTAGACCAGTCAGCACTCTATGGGTGACGTGGTCAACATGACACCGGCTGCCTTTACTTCCCAGGACTTTATCTGGTACCCATTTTAGGCTGTGTTGACCTTTTGACAAAAAAATCTGCCTCAGTGCGGATTTGACCCTAAGACCTTTGGGCCAGAAGGCGAGTGTCTAGCCACTATGCTGCCGCAGTTCTGTCTCCCATCATGCCCTTTGCTACTTCCTGTATCTTGTGTACTTTCATGCCTTATGTGTCTCAAATGCTCCGTGTCCACGTGTTTGACTCACACTTAGTGAGATCATCTTCTGAAACATAAAGATTTTGCTAACGAATCTTATCTTCTTCTTCATCTTATTCATTTTTTCTTCTTCTTCACTTCCACTTTTACTGCTTTGTGGGTCAAGGGAGATAATGACTCTGCTTAATGCTCTTGTGGCTGCCTCTACCATACACACATCGTACTGTTGTAGAGTTTCTCAGACGCCTTCTCTTTCTTCATGGAGTTCACTTGCTGTAAATTCTGGCAGATTGTTCATCCACTTCTGAACTTTGGTCTTGTTCCAGAACTGGGGTGTTTGCACATCTGTTTTACAGATCTGACTTATATGTATGCAGATTGTTGGTTCCTTGCCTCTCCTGCAGATGCACTCGGATTTAGATGGAAGCACCCATATAGTCGACCCTTACGACATGCTTTTGGGGAAGGCATCGGGTCTATCCTTGTTTCCCGACAATGGGACCCGGAAACCCACATGGGGATCTTGGATGTTATCTGTCCATGTTCTTGGTTTGCCTTGGGCTCAGCGTCCTTCCTATGTTTTGGTGTACTCCATCTGTGTCACCATGTTTGTTCTCTTATGACCTCATTCCTGATTTAATCTCTTCTGGTGACTTCTGCATTTTTCTATATGCAGCTTTGTATCTTTCTGGTTCTTGGAAGGGAAGAAATGGCAGTGAGAAACAGATCTGGTTATCTCACCTCATATGTTGTAGCCCAGAACATGTGAAAATTCTAGAAGATATAATACTTTACGCTTCAACAGCAGTGTCTGGTATAAGATTACATTTACTTTCATATTCGTGAACAAATTACAAACCACAAGCTACCACAGTTCAACAGGCTTAGATCTCAACCAAAGTTCAGCAAGCTTAGATCTCAACCACAGTTCAACAGGTTTAGATCTCAACCACAGTTCAACAGGCTTAGATCTCAACCAAAGTTCAACAGGCATAGATCTCAACCTCTCTGCTGAGTCAAGTGGATCAGAAGACCAAGCAGACTGCACCCCAGTGGATCCTAGGACAGTGCAACATTATGGAAAATAAAGTAGCAGACCACTTAGAAAAACAGAGCAATACAGAACAGCCTGATTCAGGATGCACTTATGAGGAAAATAAAACCAAGATCAAGGCAGCCATTAGAAAACTTCCCATCCAGAATACAATTATGAAGACCCAGTCAACTGCCTCACATGAAGTATTTAGACTGTGAACTGGACACAACAGACTCTGCAGCCATACATACAAGAAATTCAAGGCTGGGACTCAGAACTTTGCCCATGTGGACAAGCTCCACAGAAAACTGAACATATGTTTCTGACATGCCCTCTTCAGAGAGATCCCGGCTCTGCCAGTTAGCACTGGTGGAAGCCAAAATATGTATTGATCAGTTGAGGTTATGTGTCACACCACAGCCTCCATAGGGGCCTGTGGCCCTCATTCAAAAATCTCTGGCAGGGAGAGTGATAAGAAGAAGATGTACATAAACAAAAATCGGTTCTTTCGTAATAAGTAATCCCGGATGATGTCACAATATTTTATAGGATGGTAAGACTGGGTTTCCAGGCTTTGTGCTGCTTTTAACTATCCCAAAACACCTAGAACTGGACCTAACCCCAAACCTAGAACTGGACCTAACCCCAAATCACTTACATCCCACAAGAGAGTGCAGTCTAGGTCCCACGACTGCATGCTACCAGCCCCTAAAATATTGGACTGTCTGTTTAGGGTGAATAAAGACAAAAGCACCCAAAAATCTCATAAATGCATAACATTTGTTGTTTTTCCTCATCAGGTATTCTTGCTGCATTGGCGTCCTCGTCAGCAACCATATCAGTGGCTCTTCAACTAGCATTTTGTCACCTTTTCTTCAACATCACAGGCATCCTATTGTTTTACCCAGTGCCAACGATGCGATCAATTGTACTAGATACAGCTAAATATCTTGGTCGTACCACGGCACGCTACAGATGGTTTGCCATCGCATATATTATCTTCATGTTTATCATATTTCCAGGGTTTTTCTTCATAGTGTCATTGGCTGGAAGAATAGTTTTCATTTTGACAATTTGCATAATAACTTCATTTGCATCTTTTGTAGTTGTGCTTAACATTATGCAGAGAAACCCTGGATTCTTGCCAGTTAGGTTTCGAACATGGAACTTTATGCCAGAGATCCTGAGATCACTCGCTCCAATTGACAGATTCTTGAACAGAGTGATGGTTCCTTTCAGGAAGTGTTGCTGTAAGTGCTGTGTGAAACATTGCCAGTGTACAGAGCAGGTCTCAGATACTGACCTGGGTTTTGTCGATAGTGACAGTGATGTAGAAACCTCTTTACAGACATCATATCCACCATCAGCTGCTTCTTCTAGAACAGTCTTGTCCTCTCAGTCAGGCCCAGACTTGAAATCTTCCTCCTCCAGAATTTATAAACCCAGAGATACAGTGTCAGTGAAAAATAGTTTGATGAAATCCCCCAGTGTGGTGGAAGAAAGTATACCAGAGGCTCCTGAAGCATCATCAGCCACGGCACTGCTTGATGAGAGTGGTGATAGGGATCACATTATCAAGTTTTACATTTCAAAAACTGACCTTCATAAGGTCATTGATAAATCAGACGGGGAGATTGCCCCAGTTAAAGTGTCAGTATTTCATGAAAGACTGAATGAAAGTGCTATGGTGTTGAAATAGGCTGGACAAACTATCAACTTATCAGATGTGCATTTGTATCATACAATGGACAGACTATTAACATATCAAATTTATGCAAGTCTGTCTGTGTAAAATATACAGGGAAGGCTGGCAGAGACAAGAGAAAGAGAGTTTTATTTTATTCTGTTATTCCATTAGCAAGGTTCTTATGATTATTAACATATCAGGTGTGTGTATGCATGCAAACACACATGTATGTATGTAAGAATGAAAGATAAGTGACAAAAAAAAAAAGGGAAGAGAATATATTATTCTATTATTCCCGAAGCAAGGATGCAATGATTACTAATGTATGAGATATGCATTTTGTACATATTTATATGTGTGTGTTTGGGGTGGGAGTGGGATATACCCATGTACTTACTCCTGGTAGTTTATATATATATATATATATATATATATGCAAGAACTTGCCTTGTAAGTCTTTTAGAACAACACATTTTAAATGTGAACAATGAGCCAACATCACAGCACGTGGGACTACATTCCTATCAGCACTCTGTCCCCATCTTCAGCTTTGTGCCAGGGCCTGAGTTTTGCTTGCACATCCATTTTACTGGCTTATTTGTGTGCAGTTTGGTGTTCCTTGCCGCTCGGGCAGATGCACTCTTGACTTCAAAGAAGGTCTCCAATTAGTCGACTGCTGTGACATATTTTTTGGGGAGGCAGTAGGTCTATTCTTGTTTTTCCTACAATGCGACCCCAGAACCCACGTGGGAAGAGTCCATTTCCATTGGTATCATGAGCAGTATGATTGTATGTTCACCTCACCTTTTCCCAGAGTGTTGAGCGTCAACCAGGTCCCCTGCATCACTCACGCCTCACACTCAGGAACCCAGGGTGGTGCTGGACACTCGCCTGTAGACTGGAAGGTTGTGGGTTCGGGTTCTGACGGTACCAGACTTACCCCCACCCTCCCCCTGAAGGTGGGTAACCTGTGGGTTTGTTCTTTATTCTCCACAACCTACATGGGGTATTCGAACCTCTGACCTTTGAGGTGACAGGAAAGTGTGCTAGTCATTGCAATGCATTCATGTAGTATTTGTATATCCAATTCTCACTAATCATCATCATCATCACCACCATCACCCTGTTATGCCATTATGTGTCACACAAGTAAAAACACCCTCTTCCACGCCTTAAGGCATATTGGGCACATAGGGCTAGACCTATATTTTAAAGACTGATCAGCACTCGGTGGGTGCTGTGGTCAGCATCACGCTGGCTATCTTTACTTCCCAGGACTGTACCTGGTACCCACTCAAGGCTGGGTCGACCTTGGAGCAAAGGTAATCTTTGAAAAAAGTCTAGCTCCGTCAGAATCTGAACCCAGAACTTCTGGTTCGCAGGCAAATGTGTAGCCACAACACCATGGTGACTCCCATGTCACACAAGACTCACAGTTTATTCTATCACTCCATTCCACTGCGCTGAGGGCTTACTTGAGTCAGTCAGGTTTATGTACTTGTTTCCGGGGCTTTTTGTTTGTCTAGAAAAAAAAAAAAGTTGGAGGAACTCACCATAAAGTGTCTATAACAGAAGAAGAAGAAATCCAGAGTCTTGGTAAACTTGTATAGAATTCCACATGCTTGAAACCTATGACCACCGAGCAGACAGGAAAATTTGATGGCCACTGTGACAATACAGTCATCATGTCACTAGAAAATAGGTGTTCATTTGTAAGTCAATTTTTGACACAAAGTTTTTTTTTTTTTTTGCACAAAGGGAAGTAATCATTAAAAACAAATGGCACTAAGAATGAACTGCTTCTCTTTCCTTGGACCATGAACACTTTTTTGGGTTTTTTTGTGTTGTTTTCTTATTGTTGACACAGGCATGTGAGTCAGGATGAAGTCACAACAACAAATTGTTTTTTTTCCCACCGCAAATAGTATCTCATATGCCTTTAGTAAAAATAATCATACCGACCATGTCTACATACCATGCAGTTGTAATTAGTACTAAACTGTTATGTATGCAGAGTGGCCACCTCCCAATAAATGTCATGTCATCTTCTTCACATTCACTGGCTTTAAACTAAAGAAAGTTCTGGTTGTTTGTTCACCTCTGGACTCTTATTCTTGTTCCAGAACCTGAGTGCTGCATGCACATTTGTTTTACCGATCGAGCTTATTTGTATGTAGACTGTTTCCTTGCCTCTCAAACACATGAACTCAGACTTCAAAGGAAGCCCCCAGTTAGTCAACTCTTATGACATGCCCCATAATGGAGCCCTGGAACCTGCAAGGGGAGTCATGTTCTCAAAAAACTCATAAATGCAATTGGGGGGGGGGGGGGGTGGTAAGGTACTGGGTATTTCATTGTTGTCTTAACTAATATAATATCGTGTAGAATCACCATGTGGGTGCGGGAGCCCTGTAATATGGAGAACAAGAATGGACCCACTGCCTACCCAAAAGCATGTTGAAGAAGTAAACTAACTGTGAGCTTCCTTCAAAATCGGAGTGCATCTGCTGAGAGGCAAGGAACCAGCAGACTGCATACAAATGAGTCAGATCTGTAAAACAGATGTACATGCAACACTCAGGTTCTGGAACAGGACTGCACTCCAGAAGTGGATAAACAACCAGAACTTTCCACCAGTTTACAGCTGGTGAACACGAAGAAGAAGAGTACCCTGTAGAAATCTGGTGTGCAAAAAACTGTTCATCCCAAACTGATGATCCAGCACCTAGACATAAACTCTCCATCTGCTACCACCAAGTTTCCTATGCTCAGTAGTTTCCTTCTTTTCTTGAGACAGATGTGTTGTCTCTGTGAATCCATTCATCAGTAGCAAGTGGTCTACTATTTTCATCTTCTGAGACCAGTTTTCAGGGGTCAAGTGACCAAAGGGAAGCCGCTGTGGTGTAGCGAGATGCTCACCTGTGGATTCAAAGGTCGTGGGTTCAAATCTGCATGATTCCAAATTTGTACCCCAAATATGACCTTGTCTCTCAGGTCACCCAACCCTTAAATTGGTACCCAGTGAAGTTCTAGGAGGTAAAAGTGGTAGGCGTGACGTTGTACACATCCCCCACTAAAGGCGGTTTGGTCTATAAAAATAGTCTAACCTCAAATGCCGATGCACCTGATGTAAAAAGGAACCTGTACTTTTTTATTAAGTGACCAAAGTGAGGGCACACTACAAAAGCTTGTTAGTTATGATATGCTTCACTAAAAACTATCACTCATCCCCAGGTGGGATGACATTTTTTGTTATTTGAAGTAGGGCTGTACCGAATAGTGATTTTCACTATTCGACCGAATACGAATAGTGGGACCAACTATTCGGCCGAATACGAATAGTGTATAGTGTAAAAAATATATCTAAAAAAACATTAATAATGTCAAATGTACGCTGAACTTTTACTTCACATAAAGTAGCACAGAATAGTCATCTTTAGCATTCTGAGCCCTTGAGGTTTACTGCTGCAGATATCACTTGTCTCCATTCATCTCTCTGGCTGGCCTTATCTTCACAATCTGCATCCTTTGGTGAGTCTGTGGGAACTAATAACTAGGAATGAAAGAATCCTAAGTATTATGACAAGTAACTAAACTTGGAAATTGTCACTGACAACTTAGTTAATGCATGAAAGCTGTATTAGCTTTCAACAAAACCAATCGTTCCATGTTGTCAGCATTAAGACCTTGTATGCAGAAGCGGGTGTGAGGTAACTACTATTCGTATTCGGCCCGACCGCAACTATTCGGCCGAATACCGAATAGTGAATAGGTCCACTATTTGGCCCGAAGCGAATATTCGGTACAGCACTAATTTGAAGCCCAAACCTGGCTTCTGCCGGGGGCCCTGAATATAGCCAGGCCATAAATATGGCCACAGGTGATCCTCACCAGCATGGTGGCACTTTGTGTCACCGGGTGTTTATCGCTTGTGTGATGTCCTAGTGGGGTACAGCAAGCAAGCAATAAAAACTCAATGATATTTGACTGTGATTAGGGATACAGAGGGGCTGAATCACATGTGGTCTGGCATCAGGACCAGGGCACAAGCTACGCCAACATCTAGACATCCAGAGAGCTGTGAGGTCTCGAGGCATGGTATCCGCCTCGAGTGCTAGAGGTTCTAGGTTCAATCCCCAGTAAGGGCTGGGATTTTTTCACGTCGACTTGTACTTCTAGTAATTCCCCCTGGTCTCTAGGTAGTGAGATAGGACGCCCGTGAGCATTGTTGTGCACGTAAAAAAATCCCTTGGCAGTCGAAAATTGAAAAGAGTAGCCTAACGGCACTGCCCAGGCAAAAATTTAGAGTTTAAAATCTACCCAAAGTATTTCAGGATCCTCGCCGATGCTACAGAGCCTGTGCACTGTGCTTAGCTTCTTCGGACTCAGACTTGAGTTACAAGAAAGAACGAAGCACTTATGGGTTACTACTGTGTGCCATGATGTTGATCGGTTTTTCAAACCTCAAACCATACACTTATCCGTGAGGATCCTAGAAACAGGTTGCCAACCAGGGACCGGGTCATTGTAGATAAGACTGATCTACTCCATAGATAAAAACCAACGGCATGCACATAAATAAGCCAGGTCAGTAAAAAATGACATGCAAACAATTCTCAAGCCCTGGAACTAGACTCGTGGCGCGGTGATTTCAGTCACAGGCATGAGGGGAAGTTAAGTCTGATGTGATGTGTATAAGGAGATATTCCGTACCCCACTCAGGCGCCAGTCCTTCACTGTTCTGGTTTTACAGAACCTCATGCAAGACTCCTGCTGCACGTCCCCATCGTGCGCCACGGATAATGTCTCAAATGAGCATTAACAGAGTTGGCAGGAGATCTCGGAGCTGGCGCCCCCTAGAGGTGTAGTGTCCTTTCTGGCTCTCATCAGCCCGCCCCCAAACGCATGGGTGAAAAGTCTATCAAAACTCATTCGGAACATGAGTAAGGATTGCTTGCCAAATGTACCATCAAATGACAACTCTCGGTTAAAAGTCTGGAGCGAAGGGAAAA